CCCTTATCTTATAAAACAGAAGTTAGCGAGAGAGTCCAAAATTTTCTCACACACCACACCACGTCTAAAAGTCCCTAAATTTTCTCATAAACTACACCACAATCCCTAAATATCCGAAACTATCTCGTGATTCTTTTAAACTGTTTCATTTTCCTTTCCTTTATATATACATTGACAAATAGATTAAGAGAAATAAAACAAAATATTTGTGAGGAAAAAAAGTAATCCATAGATACAATCTATAGAATACTCAAAGAAATAATGTCAGAGACGAAACTCTGATTTATATGGAATCTTTTCTGTTTTCCTTCGTTAATTTTGTTGTCTGTGAAGTTCGGTAACACACATTTCCCCTTTGTAAAGCTTCATGTGAGAAACTTTTATCTATGAAAATCATATTTGTCAATATATATTGTTTGTAGATACAAAAGTGCTAATTATAAAGTTTCCATATTTTCAGTTTAGGCTAGCAAAGACGAAGGCTTGCAAAATGTNCGACCAAATTTCTTGAGATATAAGGCAAGCACCCATTTTTCATTCTTTTTTTCAGTTTTCCGAAATATCAAGCTCTTATTTGGTAGTAAATAGTTGACAGTTCTTTGTTAGAGAGAATACATAACCGAAGTTTTAGATTCTTTTTATGTGTGAATGTCAAAAGATTTTAGAATACATAAACCAAAGTTCATTTTCATAGAAAACCATGAAAACAATTACAAAAAGTTTAGGCTTTCAAAAATACAAACTATTGGTGACTATTTTTAGTGCAAGGCATTAAATAGATTATCATGCACGAAAGATAATGGGTACGAGTACAACAATTTCAATATTGTAGTATTCGAATCATTTATGTTTAGTTCATTTACAACAAATTTTCCTGACTATGTTTAGTTATACACTTGCTAGCTAATTCTATGTTTCTATTTTGATTTAAGGATAAAATCTTGAATTTCAAATTAAAATGTATAATTATTTGTAATAAATTCTCTATTGCAATAGTTTGTTTCTCAAAGTTGTTACTTATTTATATGTAACTAATAATTTTTTCACTACATTATCTCATCTTTCAAATCTAAGACAAGTGAGAAAAAACCCAAAAAGGTAACCAA